AAAAAAAATACAAATCCTTTTAAATAATATTTTTAAAACTTAATACCTATCATGTCTATTCGTGCTCTATTCGAGGCGATTACAAAATTTACCGTAAATTAAAATAGTTAATTTATTAAAAACCTATTAAATATGCATATTATATGCATTTATGAACAAATATGCAATAACCCTCGAAATATGCAATATGAAACTTGATGTTTTAATTCGGTGTAATATGAATCGTGAACATTTTAAACCTCCATAGACGTGCATACACTTAGTACAAACATACAAACGCATATAAATCCGGGCTCTACTTATTATTATCTGCGTAGCTGTATATCTGTTATCTGCAAGATTTAAATATAGGCTTTATAATAGCTTTTAACATGTTATTCGATATTATACTTGAATAATCTAATTATTGAAATATAATTTCACTAATAACACTCACATAAAATACTAAAGATTTTATTTTTAAAATGTAATTTTGTTAATTTAAAAGAGGAAATATTTTAATATTTTTATTCGAATGATTGTGTAATGTATAATTAATAGTGATTATCTCTTAGCAGTTAAGACTTAGCTAAACCGTTTACGTATATCAAAAACCAACGGGTACCCGACAATTTTGGATAATGGATACCCACTACCCGAAAACATTGACTACCCTCAAATTCAGGTATTACCCAGGTTTCTGAGTATCCGTATATTATCCACATCAAATCAAGAGCACTAGTAGAAACTTATTTTGGACTTTCTCAAGAGTAGTTATTATCCAGTATTATATGTTGACCATATAATGGAACCATATTCTAAAAGCGTCCTTAAGAACAATTTAAATAAATTGAAGTAAAAATATTCTTATCTTTGAAGTCAAAAGAGCTCCTAAATATGAATTCAAGCAGTTTTAGGTCTTTATTTTTTATGTGAAAAATATGACAATTAAATGTTAATTCAAATTAAAAATAAATTCCAAGGTCCTTAATAACGTCTGTAATTCTAGATAGAGGTACACCATTAATATTATTCTTCTTTTTCTTCCTGGCAATCCTACTCTCTAAGAGTTTTTGTCGCCATTACTACACTTCACCACCTATCTCTATCTTGGGCTGTCTCTCCCCAATCTTCAACTTCGAGGGTTTTTAAATCTTTTTCTACCACGTTAATTCATCTTTTCCCAGGTCTACCTTTAGGTCTCTTCCCTTGTGGTTTCCATTCCAAAGCTGCTCTGACTACTTCGTTCTCTCTTCTTCTTACTATGTGACCTAACCATTGTATTCTTTGGCCCTTAATATAGTTTGTTTCCGGTTCTAGTTCCAACATATCGTACAGCTCTCTGTTGTACCTTCTCCGCCAATTCCGCGTTGTATCATCTATAACAGGTTCACATATTTTCCTCCATACTCTGTGCTCAAAAGTCCTCAGGTTTCTCTTTTTTTGTTTGGTCATTGTCCAAGCTTCGCAGCCATACGTGAGAGTCGGCCTTACAATAGCCACGTACAGTCTTGCTTTCGTTTTCCTGGATAACATTTTGGTTGTGAAGAATTTTGTCAGTGCGTAGAACGTTTTTTGAGCTTTATTTATCCGAATACTTATTTCCTTTGACCAATCATTCCTTGTATTTAGCGTTGCTCCCAGATATTTAAAATCGCTAATTTTTTCGTAGGCTAGATTTTCCGTCTCACTGAGGTCCTCTCCACTTTCAATTAGTTCCATTATCTTTGTTTTCTCGGTATTCATTTCGAAACCAATTTTCTTCGCCGCTTCTTCTAGCACTCTGGCTGCGTTGGCTGTGTCTGCAAGTGAATCACCTATTATATCTAAATCGTCAACGAAACCAAGAAGCCGTATCTTATTCTGACCGATTACTAAACCACCTTCATTGTCCTGTAGTATTCTTACTACCTTCTCTAAGGCCAGATTGAATAGTACTAGGGATAGAGCATCCCCTGTTTTAGTCCGGTTTCCACTGTAAAGGTTCCCGATATTACATTTTGTGTTCTTACTCTGTATTTCGTGTCATCCATACACATTTTAATTGGTGCTATTAATTTTTTTAGAAACCAAACTCGTACATAATATTTTAGAGACTCTGTGGATAATATCATAGGCCTTTTTAAAGTCTATGAATAATTGCCATATATTCTACCGATATTCGTACCTTTTTTCAATTATTTGACCTGTTATGGATAATTGTTCTGTTGTTGAACGGCCTTTCTGGAAACCGCATTGGTATTCACCTAGGTAATCCTCCGAATAAGGGATAATGCGATTTATTAATATCCTAGAGAAGACTTTGTACGCGGAGTTCAAGAGTGATATCCCTCTATAATTGTCACACTTTGTCTTGTCTCCTTTTTTGTGCACTGGTATGATGATTGCCTCATTCCAGCTACCCGGAACTCATTCTTCCATCCATATTAGCTGACACAGTTTATAGATTACTACATGTAGCTCCTCACCTCCGTATTTTAAGAGTTCTGCTAGAATATCATCGGTACCCGGTACTTTCCAATTTTTCAGGCCAAAAATTGCAATTTTT